GTAAAAGCAGGGCAGTGAAGAAAAAGAAGAAGAAAGGCCTTTAAATAGATTTTACAGCAATAAAAACGCGGCCCACCAAGCCCATTTAAACACAGCATGAGAACACAATGGTCCATTACTCACCACAACTAACATAGCTGAAATGACGGATGGCACAATTCCACACAAAGGTATAGTTCAACGGGCAAATTTCAGACTTATCCATCCAGCACCACGGCAGAGTTATCATATTGCTACAAAAACAACTCATCAACCATGAAGCAACGGAGGGTTACCTCACAAGGAACACAAGAACTTAGTTCTTATATAAAGAACTCGGGAGTCTCATAAACAACCAGGACATCAGCAGAAAAGAGAATGACAACTTAGAAGACAAGATTCTTTTCATTATAAATGGCTTCAAAAAATACAAGATTACACATCTTACAAGACCCAATGAACTCAGAACTACGACAAGCAAGATAGCAAAGAGGAACCTGGACACAACTAGGCTTTGGAACGACTACGTATTCCAAATTGCTACTCAGTAGAACAAACCGCACTCGGCTACACTATTTTCTTCAAAGAAAGAACGCAGCACATCCAAGGCGGAGATCAGCAACACGGCGGGACAACATGGACCAAGAGAAGCCTACAGGCATCTGTCTACCCAAGTCCGATGTGATGCTGGATATGGTGTTGATCTGCACCGGATAGTCTCAGGGCAGGCGACGAGGATCAACCCAGAACTGCTGGATGAAGGAACGTATCCCACATCACAAGACTTCCTCCAACTACCGCCACGTACTTCCCGGTACAATGCCGCTGCGGGATTAGTCTACCGCTAATCCCTATCACAAGACTTCTTCCAGCTACGACAAGATATACAAAAACTACAAAATACGCCCAGGGTCTGCTCTACTTCACAAACTATCATATTCATGACTACGGAGATTTCAGACCACGCAACAAAATGCTCGATGAATCAAAACAGCACACCAGGAGGGTATTTATAGAACAAAGAAGTGGTGCACATGGACCGAGAGCACCAACGGAACAAACCTAACAAAGGACACAGTGAAAAGACAGAATTCAATGAAAGAGGACTCAGGCATGAAGGAGCAATACTCAAGAACGAGCATATTCGGAAGAATATACCAACACTATACAACTCGTGAACAAACAGCATTTACTCTCAACTACCACTATACAACTACATTTGACAACAGCAGACTACCAGAGAACATGACAAGATCCTATATCCGAGTTCTTTTCAATAAAAGAACCCAGGTATATGCTCAGGGGCTGCAGTAGGAAATGATTTTAGTCCTTTGAACAACTCAGATTCAATGCCCTCCAACTTTTTGTTCTAAATAGCAAGAGGCTCGGGGGCTACACTCAGTGAGTGCACTTTTTTCTTCAAAAAGCACACATCACTCAGAAGACTTCTTCCAGACAGCAGTTTTCAAACAACATAAGATTCAAGACTCTCCAACTTTTTATTTCAAATAGCAAGAGGCTCGGGGGCTACACTTAGTGAGTGCACTTTTTTTTCTTCTTCAAAAAAGCGCACGTCACCAAAAAAGACTTCTTCAAGACAGACCACTTCAAGGCCTCACGACAAAAAGAACCCGAACCTAGCTATATCCGAGCTCTTTTTGATAAAGAACCCGGGTATATGCTCAGGAGCCCTTCGACGAAGAATCAGAGCGATTTCAAGATAAGACCCTCCAGCTCCTTGTGCCAAATAGCAAGAGGCTCGGGTGCTACACCCAAATAAGAGTACTTTTTTCTTCAAAAAGGTACACACCACGCGAAGATCTCACGAAGCACTACACGGTGTCGCTCAAGAAAGCACTCGGACGACGTTTGTTCCTGCTCGGCAAGACCTGAAGGAACAAGACGAGGCTTCCAGAGCTCAACCATGAAGTGCTCGGGAGCTTGTCGGTGCGGGACCCATGGGATACCCCGCAAGAAAGGGAGAAGATCTAGTCTAACTAGGATTCTTTCCATATAATCTTAGTAGTAGTATTATTCTGTGATCCTACTAGGAACTCTCATTGTAAACCGACTAGGACTCTGGCCTCCTGACTATATAAAGGAGGGCAGGGTTCCTAGAGACGGGACTTTACGGACACGATACTTCACAATCAATCTAACACAAAGGCTAACGCCTACTGGACGTAGGGCTATTACTCGATCAACGATCGAGGGTCTGAACCAGGATAAATTGACTGTCTCTTGCGTTTACCGTTGAGTTCCGCATACGCTGAAGCCCGAACAAACTGCCCCGGGTACCCCTGTGGCAGGCTATCGGTGGTGAAACATCAACAATGATTATTACATTCTGCTATTTAATTATCGCACTCTGAACTCTGGCATTGTAATAAATAATTTTCAAGACTCTGCGTTGTATGAAATGGACTAAGTATTGTAAGCCCGTACTCATTATTGATCCTAGATGTTAAACGTGGATTGTTTCGAGTTCTTTCTTTGGGTGTGCTCGACGGAACTGCCTATTTTAGTCCATTTTTGGGGCGCTTAGTGTCTAGTGGAAGACGAGCGCCTCCGAAAGTGGGTTATTCTAGACGGTTCTGCCACACAACTATGAGTTTAGCCTACCTCTAAACCCTCTTACAAGAATTCTTCTAGTCACTACAGCTCTTGGCTATGCCAACCAAGTACTCTCGGGGCTGGTCTACTTTGATCACCACCATATTTGCAAGCTACAAACTCTAAGCCACTTTGCTTCTTCTACAACTGAGGTTCAAGTGCTCGCCAGGAGGGTTTTTATAGGTGTTTTGACGACGTCTATAGGCCAGGTTCACGCGGAATACACAGACAAAGTACTGACTCCTACATAGGTTCACGTGCTACACTACAAGGGTATAGTGCGTCCCACTACACCTTTTCAGTGTACAGGCAGCTTTTTCCCAGCACGTGTGAAGTTACCGTACACCCGGTAGCATCTTTGATGGCATATTCTCACAGATATATTGAGGATCTTTGGACCAACAGTACTAAAGCTTTGCATGTGACTTTGACAGGTCCTTCCTGCTTCTGTACAAGCTGACAAGGCAATAATTTTCATTGGCACTCTTATCCTCGAGTATATTCTTTGTAGATCCTTGTCTTAAATATAAGTACTCGGACACAGATTCAGGGGCTGCAGGGTACATATCCTTTACGGATATTTTTTCTTTTAGACCCTCTAACTCTTTGTTTTGCAAACAGAAAGAGACTCGGGGGGCTACACTCAGTGAGTGCACTTTCCTGAAAAGTGCACGTCACTCGGAGGCTTTACAGAGCACCTCATGGCTTCACTGACGAAAGCACTCGGATTACACTTATTTCTACTCGGCAAGACCAGGAGGAACAAGAAGGCTTCTGAGTTCAACCATGACACGCTCAGGGGCTTGACGGACCAGGGTCCTAGGGGTTCCCCACGTGAGGTCTACCCGGATGGGCCCTGGGATGGCCCATGATCTGTTGAAAGACGCGAGACAAGGTGGCGTGGACTTCAAACTATTCCAGAACAACTTAGTCGGCTTACTATAAAAGCTAGATTCTGTAATAGGATTAGGACACTTCTCTCATAACCGACTAGGACTAGATACGTGTCCTTACCCTCTTCCCTATATAAAGAGATGTACGGTGCACCCCTTTTAACCCTAACAATCATACCATCAATTCAACGCAAAAAGGCTACACGTTGACTGACATAAAGGCTATTACTCGACAAGAGGGCCCGAACCAGTATAAAACGTTCGTCTCTTTACGTTTACTGTCGAGTTCTGCGTACACCGAAGCTCTTCGAACATCGTCCCGGGTATCCCCGTGATGAGTTGTTGGTCATCAAACACCGATAGCTGTTGTATAGCCAAACAATTTTTCAGTAGATCCACGATGGATCTCAGATCCATCAGTGGAGCTCCCCCAGTGAATCTTAGATCCAGATTTAATTTTTTTTTAGAACTGTCCCAAACATGCCTAGATTAGTCCAGCAACGTGGCTAGAAATCGTCGGAACGGTTCGAGAAGCGAAGGAGCCCTAAAAGTTCAGGCATCCAAATAACCCCCTCAGTCATCCATATACGGGCCTCTCTCTGGGCCCCCATTCGCGAGTCCATTATTGGGCTGGCTCGGCCTACGCCGACGCCCCGAAACCCTAGAGGCCAGAGCCTTTCTTCCCGACTGCCCGCCGTCGTCTGCTGCGGACTGCGCCTCCACTTTGCCATCTTTCATTGCAAGGTCTCGTTTCTCCTCGGCTCATCCTTTCTCGCTCGACCTCTGTTCTCGAGCTGATTGCTGCGATAGCGACCGGATCAAAGTTGTACTCTGTTGCCTCCCCGTGACCATAGTGATTCGCTCTTCTGCGTGCGATTTATGGTAGCTACTGCGCCTCCATTCCCTTAGGGTTTTGGGGTTTTGTTTGCTTTCGTGTTTCGATGAACTGATTCTTACGGATAGTTTCTTCTGGATCCGATGAATTACTTACGTACCGATTCTTACGGATAGTTCCTTCTGGATCCGATGAATAACTTAGGGACCGACGACTTGCTGATTGTGCTTGTGGTCGTGTTACCTGGTCTTCATGAAAAGTCAGATCGAAGTTTTTGAGGTGTAGAGCTGCTGTAGCTTCTGTTTTGCAGATACTTTGCTCTCGATCTGTCTTTGTAGTTCATGTGCAGTAATAGTTGCAACCTCGTCGCATAACCAAAATTTCTGATCTGGTTTGTAAAGTTATTGTGTCCAATTTTGAATTCGTCTTACTCGCTCAAAATTCTGTGCGCTCACTTACTAGTCCACTCTTTATTTTTTCTAGGGCTGCTTATATTATATTGTTTGCTCTGTATAATGTTTCTAGCTCTGCTTTATTTTCCCCTGCTGATGTGTACCAAACTTTTTAAAGCTGATTACTGCGGTTGCAAGTTTAGATCCCATCTAATAAATATGTGATGTTTGCTAGTGTTTCTAATAATTGATTCTTCTGGCTTAACAGTTTAAGCTTCACCTCCAGCCATGGGTAAGGAGAAGTCCCACATCAACATTGTGGTTATTGGCCACGTCGACTCTGGCAAGTCGACCACCACCGGCCACCTGATCTACAAGCTTGGAGGCATTGACAAGCGTGTGATCGAGAGGTTCGAGAAGGAGGCCGCTGAAATGAACAAGCGGTCCTTCAAATACGCGTGGGTGCTTGACAAGCTCAAGGCTGAGCGTGAGAGAGGTATCACAATTGATATTGCTCTGTGGAAGTTCGAGACAACCAAGTACTACTGCACTGTCATTGATGCCCCTGGACACCGTGACTTCATCAAGAACATGATCACTGGTACCTCCCAGGCTGACTGTGCTGTCCTTATCATTGACTCCACCACTGGTGGTTTTGAGGCTGGTATCTCCAAGGATGGCCAGACCCGTGAGCATGCTCTCCTTGCTTTCACCCTTGGAGTGAAGCAGATGATTTGCTGCTGCAACAAGGTATGCTACCAGGAATTTCTGTTTCACTCTTCATTAGTTAATACTCTGGCATAATAGTATGTGAGCTGTATATAGAGTTTGATGCTAATATGTTGTATACGGAATTTGCCAAGTCAATTAGTGGCTTGAATTTTCATTAACCTTCTGTTTCTTTCATGTTTAGTAGTTAATTAACTTAATAACCATCATTAGTTTGCTAGTAAGATCTGTTGCAGAAACATTTTCTCTATAATTTTGATATAAGTTTTTCACTCAAGCTGAGTAATGTGGTTAAAAGTTATTGGAACACTTAGTGCATAAATAATGCATGTACAAGTGTAGCAGCATTTGTTTGTCTTCATTTGATTGGTATGGTTACTTAACGTGCTGATGTTACCGTTTAATTAGTAGTAGGACGCATTGACATATACCTGGTTAGCTATGTATTTTGGTATCTGCTTTGTATTTGTTACATCCTGAGCTTGGTTACATATATGTGGATCATATGGTAGTTGGTGATCTATTTATGTGTTCATTAGTTACTTCTGCGATGTCACTGTAAACAACTTTATTCCTGAGAGATGTTTTGTGTACCAATTAATTTTGAATGATGTGATCTTGCTGTTCATGTGATTTATTCCATCAAGCTAATACCTAATAGTATTGTTCAGCTATGTAACACGGATACGCCAGGGAGGTGCCGTATCCCGTATCGGATACATATCCAATACGGACACGCGTCCGATACGTGATGGATACGTATCTGAAGAGTATCCAATTTTTTGTTAATTTCGCAAATATTGAGTACGTCGGCCGGTACGTATCTGCCCGTTCGATATGGCCCAGCCCAACAAACACTCGCGCACTCCCTTCCTCTGTCCCCAAAGCCAGCCCCCGACGCCCGCACTCCCGCACTCCGCGCCGCCTCCAGCGAACACGCGCGGTGATGCCTCATCCTGCTCGCCGGCTGCCGGCGACGAGCCTCTGCCCCCGCTCGCCGGTGACGAGCCTCCGCCCCTGCTCGCTGGCCGCCGGCAACGTCTCTGTCCCCGTGACATGGATCCAGGCGTCCAGCGACCTCCCGTGAGTTCATCCCCTTCCCCGTTCTCGATCTACTATATTTCTGCAGTTCATGACTTATTGTTGCTTGATTTCTTTGGTCCGCACTTCCTCTTCCTCTGTCCATTCTTGATCTACTCTGTTTTTGCATTTCTTAATGTCTTCTTGATTTTCTTTGTATGCAGGGGATGGCGTCTGGCGTCTCCAAATATGAGTAGATGGCGTCTCCTTTTTCCGTTCTCGATCTACTCGATCTACTCTGCAGCTTGATGTTGTGGAATGTGGATGAGAGTGAAACAAATGAGGAAATAGGGAGTTGATGCGAGCCTGAATGCCATTTATTAACAGTAAAACGAATAATAGAACTTAAGTAGTTAGGTAGACTGCAATGTTTTATTGTTATTAGTTTTAATATGCATTATTATCTTTTTAATTTTAAAATAGTAAAACGTATCCGCGTATCGGATTTTTTAGAAAATTGCCGTATCCGCGTATCTGTATCCTCCCGATACCGATACGCGTATCCGTATCCGTGCTGCATAGTTGTTCAGTTCCAAGCATATACTGTCTATGTGGCATGGATAATCAAACTAATGATAATGGTATTCTGTTGCTGTTCTGTTTTTAGATGGATGCAACCACTCCTAAATACTCCAAGGCCCGTTATGATGAGATTGTGAAGGAAGTCTCATCCTACCTGAAGAAGGTTGGATACAACCCTGACAAGATTGCTTTCGTCCCAATCTCTGGTTTTGAGGGTGACAACATGATTGAGAGGTCCACCAACCTTGACTGGTACAAGGGCCCAACCCTGCTTGAGGCTCTTGACCAGATCACCGAGCCCAAGAGGCCTTCGGACAAGCCCCTGCGTCTGCCTCTCCAGGATGTGTACAAGATTGGAGGTATTGGAACTGTCCCGGTTGGTCGTGTGGAGACTGGTGTCATCAAGCCTGGGATGGTTGTCACCTTCGGTCCAACTGGCCTGACCACTGAGGTGAAGTCTGTTGAGATGCACCACGAGGCTCTCCAGGAGGCCCTTCCTGGTGACAATGTTGGCTTCAACGTGAAGAACGTCGCTGTGAAGGATCTCAAGCGTGGGTATGTGGCCTCCAACTCCAAGGATGACCCTGCCAAGGAGGCTGCCAGCTTCACCTCCCAGGTCATCATCATGAACCACCCTGGGCAGATCGGCAACGGCTATGCCCCAGTGCTGGACTGCCACACCTCCCACATCGCTGTCAAGTTTGCTGAGCTCATTACCAAGATCGACAGGCGGTCTGGCAAGGAGCTTGAGAAGGAGCCCAAGTTCCTGAAGAACGGTGATGCTGGTATGGTGAAGATGATTCCCACCAAGCCCATGGTGGTGGAGACATTCTCCGAGTATCCTCCCCTTGGTAGGTTTGCTGTCCGTGACATGAGGCAGACGGTTGCTGTTGGAGTCATCAAGAGTGTGGAGAAGAAGGACCCGACCGGCGCCAAGGTGACCAAGGCTGCTGCCAAGAAGAAATGATGCGACCTGTCGTTAATCCTGCATCTGCTTTTGCAATACCTAGATGAGTTATCACTATCATATAAGTTTTGTATGCGGTCGTTCCAGTTATTGTGTGAACTGTTAAGCTCTGCTGCGTCGTGCCCTGTTTCTGTTAGGGTAGCGTCAGCGTCGGGCTCTACTGTCGGTGTGCCTTTTGTCTGTCGTCTGGTACTATCAGTATCGGTTTGTTTGTCCCTTTTGGGCGCTGTTAAATGGAATTTTCGAAAGTCTACCAGTAGCTGTCTTTATGCAACTTGTTGCTTGCCGCCTTGGTTTTGTCTGCTATGCCTGATTTGCGTGTTCTGGTTATTTACAATGTTTGGAACAATTTTTGCACGTCTGATGTGTTTATTACGTAACATGAATTGCTTGAAGTTGCCGAAGCAGCGATATTGTAGGCCCTGTTTGTTTGTGCTCATAAGCGCGTTTGCGACGGGAGAAGCCGGATACGCCCGCCAAACGGCTCGCGATGGCATCCATTGCAAACGTGGCGTCTGCGTTCGCTTACCTTCTCGCAACGGCGATTGGAAAAGCGTCCGAAGGGCTGCGATTTGGAAATCGCGAGCGCTTTTCCTCTCCCCGCCCCTCCCACCCGACCCGTGCGTGCTCACGACGCCGACTTCCCTCCCCGCTGCCGCCTGGCTCTTCCCACCCCGCCTCCCTCCTTCCCCTCCGGCCAGATCCGGTGCCGGCTCTCCTCCCCGCTATCGCCTCCCTCGTCCCCTCCGTCCGGACCGGCAGCCTGCGCAGGGCTCCCTCTGGACCGGCTGCTGCACCACGCACGCGCGGTCGCCCCTCCACGTACCAGCTCTGCCATGGCCATGCCGGGGTGCTGAGCGAGCCGGTCAACCAAGCTCCGCCTCGGGCTGCTTATACAAGGGGCGCCCCTCTCGTCTCTTGACTCTCCTCCACCACGCCGAGCCACTCAGCTCCGCAGCCACCCATTCCTCGCTCATCTTCTTCCGAGCGCCCGTCGATCTCCTTCCCCGCGCTGCAATCGGTTGAGGTAGCAGCCTACGTGAATCCCCTACCTCTCCTCTCCCTCCCCATGCTCTTGGATTTGTAAATGGTGGGCGAAATCGCTGTCTCGCGAAGCTCGCCGAGCTGTCCATGGCGACCGAGCTGACGAACACGAGCACCTGCATCTCCCGTCCATGTTCCCTCTCTACCTCCATGTCTATTTCCTTGCTTCCTTGGACTAGTCAAGAGAGAGAGTAAATGAAGACGTACCGGTGTACTCAAATTGATGTTATTTTGGACTATTACTGTACAGGAGTACATAGGTCAATTTACATCCAGGACAGATAATCTACCAGAAATAATCAGAACAGCCAAACGTCCAGCTTATTCAGACAGCAGATTCTCTATATCGTGGCTTATCAGATAAGCCTGCTCAGCTTATAAGCGAGACTCAGGAAATCTGAAACAAGGCCGTAAATACGTCGCGATTATTGCTGCTGATACCTCGATACTGAGCCAGCGCGTGGACTTCTCCTGACCACGGCAAGTGACCCAACCCAGATCTCTGATGATGGGAGCCCTAACCGCGCGTGACGCGGTGCCACGAGATCTTTGATGATGGGAGCGCGCTAAGCGCGTGCGACGCGGTTCGGATCTGTTGGAATACATGCGTTTTCTCCCGATCTGCAGCACGGGTCGCTCCGGGAACAAACCTAGAATTATGCTGTCTAGTGTTGATCAACAGCTGCCTTTCTCCCAATCTGCAACGTACCCGTTCCGGGAACAAACCTAGAAAATGCAACGGGTCGTTCCGGAAACAAACCTAGAAAATGAAATGAAGCTCTGGCGAAATGCTTCTTGTTGGCCTGGTGCACACGCCTGTAGTTCTGCTGCTTGCCTGCTTCTGCTTGAAGGTAGCACATCTACAGCATATGAGGTGCATCACTTCACTTGTGTTATGACATTGATATGTTGGCATAGTGTGCAGATAGTCTGTTTCATAGTTTTAGACTCTTATTACAAAAGGCATCATTTCAGGCTTGCATCTCACCACAGCATATGAGCTGGCTCCCCGCCTGGCCGCCTCAAAGCAGGTAGTATTGAGGATTTTATAATGATAATAAATCCCATTTTGCAACTTTTAGTTTTATAGGTAAATTCTCACTAATGTTGTTGTGAAACAGCACCTTTTTAAGAGATGATCTCATCCATTTATGAAGCTGTTAAGAAATTAGGATTAGACAGCTTCAGAAAAGAAATTAGGATTAGACAGTTAACCATATCTCCAAAGGGACATATCCTTTGTCCACAATGGTGATGAATGGTTGCTTACTTTCTACTCAACATTGAGTATGCCTATACTCTAAAGAATAAGGACTCCGTATCGTTATCGGTAAGAACAGTGGCGAGAATAATTTATCTTCTCGCAACTTTCGTGATCTACTTAACATTCAACACCACGTCGGTGGAGTTTGCATGGCCCCACTGGATAGTGACACATCTTCTTTGAGCGCATCAAGCCTCATGATCGCCACAACGGTGCCCCTTGTCGTGGCTTTGGTCCCTTCGATTACAAGCTCGCCACTTTAGGCCATGGTTGCCATGCAACACCAACTCATGGCCACCAGATTCCGTCTCTGTACATTCTTCTTTTGCATAGCCAACCACTCGCTCCTGGTCTTGACGAGGACGACGTTGGCCCAAGCAACTCTGTGCCACCCACTAAGGAAGCGGCTGCCAATCCTAGGAACACATGAAATGTTAATTGCTCAAGTGACACTAGATGACTAATATGCAAACAAATTTGTCCCTCTTAGTAGTACGATCATCTATCCTAAACTCGGTCGAGCTCTTCTCTACTCAATGATCATCCATAGGTGTAGCCAGCCACACTACCTTTGATCATTGCCCATAGTATGAAGTTCCTCCATCGCTCTTCATTAAGCCACTTGATCATCAACACAAATCAACACTTGGCTTGATCTCTGTTGAATGATATTGATCCTCTTCATGTCATTATGTAGCTTTATTGATAGCAACACAACTAGTAAAACCTTAGTTACACATCTAGATACGTTGTTTTATTGCATAGATTTTAACTAGGTGAAAATTAGAGGACATAATTTAAGTAGATTTTAAGATACCTAATTCATCTCTCTTAGGCGTCGCGATCTCTTTAGGACCCACAACAGAAGGCATTAGTTAAGTCATGAGTCGTAGGATTGGTGGACATCTAGGCAGCCCCCACATAGAGAGCAGTTTTTTTTTTACTTTTCTTGCGGTACGCCACGGTGGAAGAAGAAACATGAGGAGAGGGAGAGAAAATATTTCTTTTAACTTTTGTGGTACACTCTAAGCTTGTGGTTGGCTGTAAGAAACTTTTTTTTAAGGTATACCCTCACAATTCAACTTGCAGGCGGGCTCATTTGCGGCCGGCCGCTAACCCGCCTCGCTTGCCGCAAAGTTTATTAGCGGGCTTGCGGCTTGCCACAAAGCTGCGGATCTTGCGGATAAGTGTTCCGCGGACACAACAAACTTGTATGCAAGACCCGCAAGATGTACAATACATTATCTATGTATTGAAGATCAAAACAGAGTTGGCTGGAACAGAGAAACATACAGTACGTACACGTACAGTATTCACGAAAACAAAGTGAATTGACTGAAACTTAGCCAAAAAAAAACAGAGAAACTTGCAAAACAGTAAACATATAATACAACTTCTGCTAACCTCGGCAGTGTTCGGCTGGCCAGAATCGGCTGGCTGGTTGGCTACAGTTTTCAGCCGGAGCAGTGTTTTTCTCTTATAATATTTCAGAATAAACAGTGTTTTCAACATGAACAGTAAAATTTAAGTCCAGCCAACCATTGCCCTCATTTGAATAGGTAGTACAGTTGATAATAATCTCTGAAAGCGTACATGTAAGACTGACTCCAATGACGGGAACCCAAACCTAAGACCCATTCCACATTTTAGGTAACGCACAGTGAAAAGGTTACGTACCCATAACTTCATCTCTCCAATGGAGGCACCGAGCAGCAAGCCCCAAATCTCTCCTCTCGTTCTTCGTTCTGTACTTCTCTCCCAACCACAAAGCGAGCGCAGCGGTGGTGTCCGGCGAGCGCGCGCAGGGCCAGCGGAGCGAGCGCACACGGGGACAGCGGCGCAAGCGAGTGGAGCTCTCCCTCCCTCCCCGCCGAGCAGAGGCCCCGCCAGCGAGCTCTTGACCCGCGGTCGGCGAGATCTAGGCGCACGCGGCGGTGGCCCCCCGGATCCAAGTGACGGCGTCCCCATCCAGCGTGGCGGCGCGCCCGGCTGGGCCTCGGCGGCGGCTAGCCCCCTCCTCCGGCCGTGCATCTCTCTCTCTCCACCAGCTCCCCGCGGTGCTCGCCCGCCGGTGCTCCGGTGCGGCCAGGCCTCGGCGGTGTCCGTAGCCGCGACCGGGCGTCTGCGGTGCCCGCCCCCCGGCATAGGCGCGGGAGCCCTTCCTCGGTGGGTGGTGCTAGGGCGAGCGCGCCCCCTGGCGGCGGCCCTGGGCGAGCGCCCCCTCCCCTGGCGCGGTGGTGCCCACCACCACAAGCGCAAGATTTTTGCGTCGTCTCTCCTCGACGACGTTTTTTTGCCTTCTTGCCGGCGTCGGACCCAAAATGCGTTCTTTGTATGGGTCTTCCGTTGGAGTGCGATTTTGATATGCAAATGTACTGTGCGACACCGATTTTGCGTTTAGGCCTCCTAATTGGAGACAGTCTAAGGAGGCCAAAACAAAGCTCCACATGCACCAACAGAGATGTAGTTACTGCATAAGAAAAGTGCTGACTGCACAGTACCTCCAAGCCAGATACATCACTTGAACCATGGAGGAGCGCTATGAGTGTCAACTCTACAATCTGCTCCACTCCGTATATCAGTTCAAGGGAGAACAGTAGAGGTAAACAACCAAAACCAAAGGGAACCGAGCAAAATCCTTACCCATATTTATCTATCTGTAAGAAATTGTAGGACGACGAAGCCACACCCGAGATCTGGCGCCCCAATCCCGCAGAAGCCGACGCTAGGATCTTGGAGGCTTCATGGCCCCCGTCCTCTCCTGCCTCCTCTTGCTCCACCATGGAGGAGTGCGAGTCGAGGGCTAGGTTTCCGCCGCCTGCCACGGCCGGAATCGGCGTTCCCATCTGCGCCAAGGGCCAGGACGAGCCGGAAGGGCGAGCGGAGAAGGGTGACGCCCGACACCACCGTACCGTGACGGCGCGATAGCGATAGGGTTCAGGAGATGTAGTTGTTGCAGGTTTTGCGGGTTCTTGCGAGCTTTGTCTCTTGCCCAACGGGCTTGGCGGGTTCAAAGACGTTGGGCCACAAAAAATTTGTAGCTGGGCCACTACAGCCACGAAAGGAAACTTTGCGGGGCGAGTGCGTGACTCACAATGTTTGTGGCCCATTCTAAAAATACAGTCATTGTCTTATGGTCGCCTTTTTTTTAACATTGTGGTCTACAGCCGAAATCAAATTGAGGCATTGCTTTGATTTAATATTCGAAGCGTCGAATTTAAAGGCACACACTATGACAACTGTAAGGATCACGTAGGTATCTAAGCACTTTTTTTTTTACCATAGGGAATTTGGTTGACGACTAGCCTAACCTACCATTTCTGAAAAGTTAAACAAATTAAACTTTTTTTTTTGAAACTGGGTATAGCTTGGCAACTAGCCAACTAATCAACCCATAGTAACTTTACCAGGAAGGTAAATCGATAGAAAACGCGTAGTAGGAATAACGAAAAGTTTCCGTGTACGACACTAAATTTCATCCGAGTCAGATCAGAAAAGCCGAAAAGGGGAAGAAAAATCCGTCTCGAGGCGAACTCTGCTGGTGGGTTTTTTTTTCACCTATAAATATCCGCGACGCTGCAGGTTAAATTCCTTAAATTCAAGTACTCCTGGCTGTTCAGTTCACTAATATATCGCTTGGTGCCGTTGCATTTGCCTCAAATCTATTCGTAAGTGGAAACGTTGGAGGAGATCGATCGATCGATCGGGATGGGAGGGTGCTTCTCCTTGGACGGCGACGTGCGCGGCGGCATGGAGGCCGTCGGCGGCGGCGGCGGCGTGAGGAGCCAGGGCGGTGCGGCGGCGGCGTCTGCCCAGCAGGGCGGGCCGAACGACGCGGTCGACTATTTCTTCCAGACGCGCGGCCTCCGCGGCCTCTACACGCCCATCGAGGTAAGCAAACGCGCGATCCGGATTGCGGTTTAGGTGTGGTGGATAGGGTTTTTGGGTTCGGGAGGGATTGGGATTTTGGTGGCTGTGCGGTTGCGCCTCGTTTCGAAATTAATTTTGGGATTTGGAATCAGGTTCCCCTCTCAAACTGTGGTCTCATGATTTCAGAAATCTGCTGCTTAGTTCCTTCGCAAATGCGTTGGTTTAACTTCTGTGTGAGGTGGGGTTTGGGGTTTGTTAATGTGTCCCCATTCAGGTTTTTCGGTGCTCACTTTTAGTAGGCACCAAAACTGCTCGGACTCAAGCGGGCCACGCGTTTTCGTATGGCCATTTTGTTCTAACTTTGTTCTGGGAAATGCTCTGGACTCCAAATATGAAGAAATTGATCTCGCTGTACTGCAGTTGCGTGCCTCGATTAATGCGTCTTACGTTTTTGATCCAGCTCTACCTTGGCATGGATAGTTGGACTGCGAAAATGCATATGATTATATTATGAACTGCGATAGTGCACATTAAGTCTACAATTTTGGTTCCTCACGTTGATTGACATCACATTGTGTCTGAAACTAGTGTAACGATTTTGTAAACTTTCATACTGGAGGCATAGGCTGGAATCCTTTTATTCCGTAATCTAAAAAATACTGGAGGCATTTTTCTGCAAGGGGATTAGGCGAGGTCAAATACATTTTAAGTGGAGTGGGTGCTGGTGAAGCTGGGTGGGGGGAGGCGAAGGTCTTTTGTGTTTATGACACACACAACCACTATCATTTTAATTTTGTTATGGTTTCTTTTTCTCTTATAAACAATCTAAAATGTCCCAAACAATTTACTTTGCTATTTTCCACTCACATGAAGATATCTGGTCTCATGCATTACCTTTATTAATTCTACATTCATCATGCAAATCTTGTTACCACATCCCAGCTTCTCCATGATATTTGGATACAATATAACTTACAGCTATTTATGATTTGTTGGGTGGTTGGATTTAAGTGTTTCTTAGTGATCTTAATTGCCTTAGAAAGATGGTGTACTAACCTATGATTCTGTGTCACCAGTTAGGCCTACCTGGCACAGCTTACTTAAATTTTCCTGAGTTAGCTGTGGATGTCAATCTGACGATCTCTTGTGCTGATGCCTGATATGTTATTTTATTCCTCTAATTGCAGCTGTCATTTTCAGCATTGAAGTTGCGGAATTTAGATGCCTTTTCAAAGGTGAAACCTAACATTCTCAAGTACTTTAATCTTAATTAATATTTCCATCGTGATAGTAGTAGTACTTACCCCGTTCTCCAGAGGCATAATAGCATTACTTCAAAAAAAAATTAAGTTACATCAAGCCTTGAATTGGTTGTCTCTGACTTTTGTGTTGTTGAATATTCTTAGCTACAAATGATTGGTTGTGCTGTGAAAAATGAGCAGACTATAAGTTAATACTGTTTAAAATGGTCCTTGTAATATTAATTTCATATTGGTATGCCTGTATTTTATCAACAACCATCACTTATCTTATGCCTTACTCACATAAGATTAATATATCACAGTGTATAATTACTGAAACTGGACATAGATTGCTTATGTTTGCTTGGGTTACTTTGCATCTCTACTTTTTTCTTCCAAAGGTGATATATTGTATGTTTGCTCTAGAGTGATCCTATGCTAGTGGTCTACACTAACATAAAAGGAAAACTAGAGGAGATTGGCCGTACTGAAGTGATTTTAAATTCACTGGAGCCCTCATGGATCACAAAGGTTACAATGTCTTACCAATTTGAGATTGTGCAACCACTCATGTAAGTATCTTATGATGGAAATGTAGATATTACTTGCAGAAAACTCCTACTAACTGCTACTGTTTTTCAACTCATGGTAGATTTAGGATGTATGATATTGACACAAAGTACCACAACACTCCAGTGAAGGTATTAATATTGTACCCTTAATTCATTTTTTCTGTGCCTCTTCTCAAATTCATTACTTGATGACGAGATATTGGTTTCAATCAGCCAACAATCCTTTCTTATTTGATTACAGTATTCTGTGTATGGCTACTAACCATTTATTCTATGTATTGCACACGTCAGTAAAGATTTGCTTCAAAGGAGATGGGTGATTAGCTGGCAGCAATTCTCTCAAGTTCTGTTTGTAGGAAAAAAAATAGCAAATACAAAATAGCTTAGAATAAAAGTTCCATTTTACCTCAACCACTTGTATGCATTAATTTTTGAAAAAAAAAAAATCATCATGTAACAATGGGAAATGATTCCTGGCTCATATCAGAACTATAGATTTGCTTTGATTTATAGTGATTAATTTTCTATACAACTTACAAAATATGCATTTGTTGATCTATGCAGATGTTGAATTTGTCTCAGCAAGATTTTCTGGGGGAAGCATGCTGCAACTTATCAGAGGTTGTTACAACATCGATTAGATTGATGATTGCAAATACCGTGAATATTTGTTTTGGCATTTTCTGTATTACACAAACTTATCTAAATATTTGCAAATTTTAAGAGTGAAGGAAGAATGCATTGCCTGATTTGTTTTATTTTCTTTCGCAGATTGTAACAAAATTTAACCATAGCCTGACATTGAATCTTCGGAGTGATTGTGGACATGGACTTCATGGAACAATCACAGTACATGCTGAAGAAAGTGACTCCTCTAGAATGGCAGTTGAGATGACTCTGCATTGCGTGAACTTGGAAAACAAAGATGTGTTCTCCAAAAGTGTATGGATAAATAAACTTCCTTCGCTAGAGTAATGTTATAAGCTGATAATTATAATTCTCATAAGTGTTACTTGATATTAATTACACAGGATCCCTTCTTAAGAATATCTAAAGTGGTAGAGACTGCTGGTCCCATTCCTATCTGCAAAACGGAAGTAGTACCTGACAACTTGAACCCTGTTTGGAGACCAATCACTTTAACATCACAGCAGTATGGAAGCAAGGTAAGTAAATTTTACAGATATGATGGTATTTCCGTTGGCATATCTTAGCACATGCATAACTCATTGTTGACCAACCTTTTCTTGTGCTATATTTCAGGATAACCCACTTCTAGTTGAGTGTTTTGATTTTAATTCCAGTGGTGACCATGTACTGATAGGGTATGTAAATGACTATTGAATTATTTCTTATCTTTTGCTGTCCATTCTAAGATGAGTTATGCCCTTGGTTGTCTTATAACAGGGCCTTCCAGACAACTATTACTCAGCTTGAAAATCTATATACCTCAAAGTCTGGAGCAAATTTTTACAGCCACAAGGGACAAAGAAAGGTTTGAAACTTTGAATTTTTACTATATGATGGGATATACTGAAGAAAAGAGTCACTTAAGCTAACTTCTCTTCATATGTCTAAACTGGTGTCAGATGAAAGGACAATTGTTTGTGGACAAGTTGCAGGAAACAGTCCAGCATACTTTCTTAGACTATATTTCCAGTGGATTTGAGCTCAATTTCATGGTGGCTGTAGATTTTACTGGTTAGCTTGATTTGTCAGCTGATGTTATAATATCTGTAACTCTGTCTATATTTAAATTATGTGACTGATTTTTCTGTCTTTTCAGCTTCGAATGGAGACCCACGTGTACCACAGTCCTTGCACTACATTGACCCCTCTGGCAGACCTAATTCGTATCAACAGGTTAGGATCTGTTTTTTGCTGAATTTTTTTGGGCAACATTAGCCAGCTAATTGGATTTCAACACCAGGCAATACTTGGGGTTGGCGAAGTTCTGCAATTTTATGACACTGATAGGCGATTTCCTGCATGGGGTTTTGGAGCAAGGGCTCAAGGTCATGTATCACATTGTTTTAACTTGAATACTGCTACAAATGACTGTGAGGTGAGCTTCATGTCTGCTGAGATATCTTTTGACCACGCTGAACATATTTCTGTGTTATATTCTATTCTCTACCTTCACAACCATATATTGTAACACAGTAGGTAGATTTAGATATAGTATGTTTGTTAGGTGCAGTTATGGGATTGCCAAATCATGTGGGGCCCTTGCAATTTTGCTGAATATGCGAACAAACTGGGCAACATATGAACTATACTACTGGCAGCATTCGCATTGCTTATATTGATGCTATGTTTATTTATTCACCTAATGATGGTGTTTAAATTTCCAGATCATCATTGATGTTAAGGTTTTATTTATGAACACAGGTGGTTGGAGTTGAAGGCATTATGTCAGCATACACCTCTTCTCTTTACAGTGTTTCCCTTGCTGGGCCGACTATGTTCGGGCCCGTGATCAACAAAGCTGCAGAAATTGCAAGCCAGTCCCTTCAATATTCAAACAATAAATATTTTGTCCTTCTCATTATCACGGTACGCAGTCAAATACTCAAATTTCTGCACATAACCTCTGTTGGTTCGAAACATCATTTATCTGACCCTTTTTGCAGGATGGAGTTCTCAGTGACATCCAAGAAACAAAAGATTGTATTGTAAGGGCATCAGACCTGCCATTGTCGATTCTCATTGTCGGCGTTGGAAACGCTGATTTCAAACAAATGGAGGTAAGAGCTGACCTCAGAAATCCCTCTCTCGAGAAATACTCCTTCCATTCCATACTGTAAGATGGTTTGGCTTTTTTAGATACATACTAGCTTTTGCTATGCACATAGATATACACTATGTTTAGATACATAGTAAAAACAATGTATCTAGAAAAGGCAAAACTCTTATAATTTGAAATGGAGGGAGTAGAAAGTAGTCTGAATATTTACCTGCCAGCTCTAACCCGAATGAACTGTATGCGCATTTTCACTATGCTGTAAGTGAATTCCTTACATACACAAAGGGATTGACACCTCACCATTGTGTGCTAAATGAAGCTGAGCTGTTGCATGTTGTACCTGTCCATCTGAGCACTTGATAGTTTAGTCTGGCAGTTCATCGCAGCATAGCTTTGCACTTTTTTAATTGTACCTCTAGGTACTCTGCATTCGATGAATCTGCAGGCATGCTGTCACTTGCATCTGCCAGAAAGTTTGTCCACTTATGTTATGATGATGTACTTTATTCTTGTCTGAAACTTAACAAAGGCTGTTAGATTGCAACGTTGTTCTGTGATGATCTTCTCTGCTCCACTTAACAATTGTACATGACAGATCTTAGATGCAGACAACGGTAAGCGACTGGAAAGCTCTACTGGCAGGATTGCGACACGCGACATCGTCCAGTTTGTCCCCATGAGGGAAGTCCAAGGTGAGGAGCAGTCTGCATCATGCCAGCCCCAGCTGTCACACTTTAGAAACAGAACTGTTACCATCTCCAATACGATTTCATCGCAGACGATTCTATGTCCTTGTGCACAGGTGGGGAGATCTCCGTCGTACAATCTCTTCTGGAGGAACTGCCCGGTCAGTTCCTGCAGTACATGCGCACTCGGGGGATCAAGCCACAGCAGCAGCAGGCTCCGGGGCTTGCTTCAGCGCCCGTTTACCCTCCTCAGCAGTGACCAAAAGAAAACGTGCCGCGCTCTGAACGAGCTGGTCCTTCTGCCTCAACTGTGGATTCCGCTAGCGTCCGTAGCGTAGTACTCTTGTTCATACAGTCCCTCTCTGGTTAGCTTTATCTTGGCCGCAGTTGGTGCATATCCAATGCCGTAGAATCTGGATCCAGCACAAGTCACTGCTTTCCTCTAGGTTAAGCGAGACGAAGTAAATTCGCATTGCACATTCTGTCAAGCTCTCAGGTTGTCGTGAAACATCATTATTATCCCCTGTTTCCATATCAAGTATCTTAATCTTTGGTGGTGGTTATGAGTTGACTGCAGCAAAGCTCCACTCCATGATGGTCCAGGCGTCCAGCGGCTAGCTTCGTTCGAGGCATGTGGTGCTGGCCTGGAAGCCAGCCTAGAGCTCGTGGGCTGCTCACGATTACCGCTCTCTGCCTGGCATCTCTGTCTCTTCTTTTTTGGGTCCTCTCGAACAACTCGAATTCGCTGGAGGGCGGCACCTTGTTGCCGGCGTCCCGTGTCCCGCGTTCTTGTGCGCCGACTGAAATGAGCTGTCCGTTCTTAAGAGGAAATTATTTGTCAGTTTGTTACCGGCCGCCTTTTGACCTTATCTGAAAACCATTTCTTTTTTTTTTGTTATGATAAGAGGCCCTTGTGTCTGCTTAGAGCAACTCCAACAGAAGAGCTATCCATATTGTGCAATCTATATTTAACTATTTTGAAAAAAAAAGAGTCCAACAGCTATTGTATCTTACTTTCTAAAATAGCAAGTCATGTATCCTGGAATTATTGATGCTAGATATAGCTTGCATGTGTCGCTAATCATTCACCTCACCCTATTGGAAAGACGGTTAGAGTTTTTTGTTTTTTGCTAGGGTTTCTATTTTAGAGGTTAGTTAAATCATGAGTTTAGCTCTATTTTTACCAACTCTGTTAAGGTTACCATGCTATTCGCTTCGCATGAACTTTATAGGAGCAGGGCAACTGTTTTCTTAAATTAGAATTCAAATTTTTTTTGGAGGTCACATTTCTCTATAGTCCTCGTTGGAAGGAATTCTAATCAGTTAACTCCATAAATTTCTCACGAGCCTTCCCACACGCAAGTGGGTCTTCATGTAGACTTTTTCTGGACTAATTTCTATCATCTCGGTCTTCATTATCGAGATTTCAGCGAAAACATCGCGGGCCTGGTTCTCTTAGCACACGATCAACGGCCACACAACAAACGCGTTGGTGTGATCTCATATAAGATTACAAGCCGGTATGCAAACTTCACTAAACACTATTTCTAAGCTTAGAGCAAGAGCTATGTAAACTAGTGCTAGTTTGTAGAAAATAGAGCAACAAATTAAATTTATCTTAAGCTCTTAGCACATGTTCATCATAACTGTTGCATACCATTACACAATTATATTGTAGTAAAGGCATTAAAATAATCTAATAACATATTGCCATATTCATTATTTTACATTTTCTCATGAATAATTATGTTGGATTAATTTTGTTTATCGTCATCGCCACTTACTCTTGTCCAACAAAATAGGAGGGGTCATCATACTATATTTTACCTAATATATATTCACTCAGTCCTAGAATATAGGTCGTCGAAGCATTCAAAAAATATACCAGAATGGATGTCATTTTAGGTCCTAGCGTGGGTCCCACCCTATAGCCAGAGTACAACACCCGTCCATCCGTCACCTCCTATCGTCCACTACCAAATAGAAAAATAAAAAAAAAATAGACAGCGGAGGAGGCTTATCCTTTCACTCCCTCCATCCCTCCCATGGCGTTCGTGGTATCTCCCTGTCCGAGACCCACGGCGGCCTGCTGCTCTTCCTTCCCGTCCACCGGCCTTGCGCCACCCACTTGAAAGGTCCTTGCTTGGTTTTGGTAATTGAGTGACAGCCCCAGGTGGACTAATGGTGTTTATATGAGATACATAGGTGATTAGTCCACAGGTACATGTGTGTGAGCAACATATGCCATGGAGGTGAAAATGGCTTGGAGATGTTGCAAAGCTTACACATGTGATGATGAAGGAGCTCATTGCACATGAGACATAACATTGAGTCATGTGATCAAGGTGGCGAGGATCAAGACAAGACTTGGCTTGATGGACCGGTTGCAAGCGTGAAGGGTAAGTTGGAGGCTTTGGAGCGATGGACCGCGTGGCGGTGAAGCTTAAGCAAAACTTGGCGCCGATGGACGAAGGCAACGGTGAAAAGCAAGTGAAGTCAAGATCGATGAACCAATATGATCACGTGATGATATGAAGTGGATCATATCATTGTTGATCGTGTTGGTGCATGTGTTGCATCAACATTGGAGGAGATGGAATGCGCAAGGCAAAGGTATAATCTAGGGCATTTCATTTCACCGGTCATAGATGTGTAGAGAAGTTGATGATCGGGTTTAGGATAGATGTCCGTACTATCAAGAGGGGCAAACTTGTTTGCGTATCGGTCATCTAGTGCCACTCGAGTGATCTAACTTTGCATCGTCGCTAGGATTGAGTGGCGTGGCAAGTTGAGTGGCTAATCCTTTGGAAAATGATTGTGAAAATGCTAACACACATACACATGGTAGTGTACACTTGGTGGTGTTGGCACATTTACAAAGGAGATGATGTTGGAGTTGATGTGGATCAACTCGGCGATAGAACGGAGGCGAGAAAGGTCCGGAACTCCACCGGCGCCCTATATAGAAAAGATAGGGTTTCATAGTGTGCACCGGACACTGGTCACGCAGTAATCGGACGCTAGGGTCTTACATCCGGTCAGTGGCAGCAGAGAGTGCAGGCGTCAGTCTTTGACCGGACGCTGGCGCTGAAAGTGACTGGACGCTGGCAGGGCACGTCCGGTTAGGCTAACGTACGGTGACGTAGGCGATGCAGAGAAGTTGGAGAAGGACCGGACGCTGATGCTGCGTCCGATCATGACCGACCGACGCATCCGGTCGCGACTGGAACCTTACTGGAAACGACCGAACGCTGGGCTCCTGCATTCGGTCACTTTGAGCAGCTATGTCCGGTCATCACTTGACCGTTGAGATCAAGCGACTAAGGTTGAATGGAGGCTACACGTGGCGAGCATCCGTTGATCGGACGCTGAGGTCCTGCGTCCGGTCGATATGATCGGCGTGTCCGGTCGTCCTGAGTTTTGCCCAGTAAAGGGGTAACGGCTAGTTTAGCCCGTGGGGCTATAAATAGAATGTGGTCTCGGCCATGGCTGGACTTGAGCACCTTGGGGGACTTTGTGTCCATGCTTGAGAGTGCTTGGGAGCCCTCCATCTCACATATGCTTGATAGTGATCATCCGATTGTGTGAGAGAGCGATTCTAGTGCGATTGCATCGTGAGGTTGCATCGAGTGGCACTAGGTGATCGAGTTGCAAGCCGGTGGTGCTTGTTACTCTTGGAGGTTGCCACCTCCTAGATGGCTTGGTGGTGGTCTCCGTCGAAGCCCGCAAGAAGCTTGTGCGATGCTCCGAAGAAGAGCTTTGCTAGGAGCATTATGCTCGCCCCACGGGAGCCGCGAAGAGCAACTCTAGTAAAGCGTGTCATTGAGCTACCCTCACTTTCGGGGTAGGTTCTTGCGGTACCCGACGTACGGGCTTGGCGGGTGATGCCAATTAGCTGTCGAACCTCCATGTGAGCGGTCGACACAACGGGGACGTAGCGTGTTGGCAAGCACGTGAACCTCGGAAGAAAATCACTGTGTCAACCTTGTTCTTCTGGGTTGGTTTGCAATCCCTTTACACAAGCTTGTGATTACTTTTATATACATTGTGCTTGTGTAGTTGCTCCTGTAATTAGTTAGCTTGTGTAGCTCACTAGTTACCTTCTTGCTTGTGTAGCATAGAAGTAGCTCCCTTGCGTGGCTAATTTGGTTTGTGTAACCTTGTTAGTCACATTGCTTAGTTTGTGTAGGTAAGTATTTGCACTCTCTAATTTGGCATTGGTTGCCTTGTTATTGAGCATTGCTAGTAAGCTTAGTTGGCTTTGTGCTTTTGCTTACTAGCATGTGTAGGAGCTCCCTCATTGCTTAAAGTAATAGTGGCATAGGTTTGTGTGACATTGCTCCTAGAATTGGTTAGGTGAGCTCTAGCTAGCCTGTAGCTTTGTTGCTTAATTAGGATCTTAGCGAGGTGTTAGAGAACAAAGATAGAGGGGTGTAGTCTTGCCTAGACCGATAGTATTAATTCCTCACTTGTTTCGGTCAGCCAACGTGATTAATTTTAGAAAGGACTATTCACCCCCCTCTAGTCCGCCATCTTAACTCTACAAGTGGTATCAGATCTAGGTCTCTCATTTGTGGTCTTTACCGACCCGAGAGGATGGTGAACTTTGAGCTAGATGTTGTTTGCGACACACACATTTTTGATGGCACACACTATGCACGGTGGAAACGTCATATGCTTGATCATTTCCGTGATTTGGGTCCCACGGCATGGTGGATCATTATTGTTGGTTTTTTCTCATGATGCTTTGGATAAGGATGACCTAACTCAAGCACAAGAGGATTTCTTACAACTTGATCATCGTGCTCTTTATTATCTAACGTGTGCTTTACATGATGATATTTTTAGACGTGTATGGAACTTGGAGAGTGCTCATGATATATGGATGGCACTCCAAGCCTTCTACGGTGACTCCTCCACAAGTGATGATGGCAAATTCAAGAAGGAGGATAATCACAAGGTGGAAGTACATGAGTGTGTTGAGCATAACCACAATTTGGTGATTGTGGAAGATTGCTCCACCTCATGGTCAAGTGATGATGATGATGATCGATCCACTACAAGTTCACTTGACAAGGTTGATGATGATGCCACAAGTGTTGCACATGAAGATTCTACCTCAAGCACACTTGGTGGTGATCTTGACGATGTTGGTTCATGCTCAAGCCATGATGATGATGCTACTACAAGCTCTCCAACTACACTACATTGTTTCATGTCACAAGGTGACACCAAGGTATCAAATGCTAATGTAGTTAA